TCGAGGACCGGTGTCCTGCAGGTTTTAGATCTCAGCCTGGGTCAACACAACTGAATCAAATGATAAGTTTATTAGCAGGCCTCTGGAGAACTACAAGACATGTTGAGGAGGTAATTTAGCCATTTAAATTAGCTGTGTTGGATCAAGGACACATCTAAAACCTGCAGGGCATCAGCTCGTGAGTAGGGATTCTTTAATCTACTGTTCTTTGGCATAAAGGGCAGAAGGTTTATTAGGCTCTACATTTGAATCATGATTCAGCCATCTGAATTGAAAATGGTAACAGTATTGCTATATACTCCAAAAATGTAACTCTTTGAAACAGCGTAGCAAACACAGACTGCTCAGTTTTTAATGTGTTCATACTGTAACAACAATACATTCATTTTCCCTTGAGCTCCACGCGGACGTTCAAGATTTTCCTGTGAAGAAGGGACATGTTTGTGCTTTGACATGGTTTTATTTTGACACAGAGTTTATGAACTCTGATGAAGCCTGAGCAAAATATTATAACTACTCTACAACTACTGCCCGTTTATTAAATACACAACTCTTGAACGAGTCAAACACGTAATTCAGCCATGTTGCTCAAACCACAGAAATCCAATGTGTTTGTCCAGATGTGCAGCAAGCAAAAGATTTATGAAGCTCTTGACATGTTTATTTAATAAAGAGCAAAACAATCAGAGTATTAACGATGCTTTTTATGATTAGTTGGGACATTCGGACAATAGATCCGGCCGAACGCTGGCCTCTTCGCAGCCGCTGACTGATTATTTAAATATTAGCCTTACACAAAGGCGATGACAGAATCATCTGCAGCAAACATGATGATTGTAAACGTTGTGTTTGCACAGTGTGGACAGAATTTGTGTAAACTTTCTAATGCTTTTACTTTCATTACATATATATTTAAAAAAGCCATTTTTTGCTGTGGGTTATCCATGTAATAAAGAGATAAATGGTGCATTATTACAGATATTTTGCAATATAAAATTACTATGAATGACTTTTTCTTCATTATATAAACAGTTAGAGTTTGTTGTTATTTCATTTTTGGCTGGGCTTACACCAGCCCTCCTCAAATCCTGATTTATAACATGTGGAAGGACAGATTACCCGTGAGGAGCAAGAAGGCTCACTAGACAGTGCAGATGCAGTGTGCTGGGGGAGAAAAAAAATCACTGGCTATTGAGTGCGATCACGAGCTGGAGAATAAATCCACATTAGGCACATTTTATCTCACAGTTTTGAACCTATGTTTAAAACTTGCTATGCTATAAACGTCTGACATATGAGCCTCTCACTGAAGAGGTATGGAATTCATTTCGGCACAACTAAGCATTTTAATATGATTGGTGCTAATATCATTCATATTGGAAAAATTTCCAGTTGAGCAGCTGAAAATTCTCATATCCGGTGGGACGGGGACCGGCACTTTTTCTTTTAAAGAGGAACAGCAATATTGCATGTCTTTTTGAGTATATGCAAAGCATTTCCCATTTTCCTCCAATAGCACTCGCTCAGAGCAGCCATGGCAAATATCATTAAATGCCCTGCTAACACCCTGCCTCCCCCCGCTACACACTTTCGTGCATGTGCAACCTCATATGCAAAACCACCTCTGCCGTCTCTCTACCCATACTCATTTTTTCCCCTCCTTTTTTCTTCCTGGCTATCACTCAGTGGCAGTGCACAAGGGAAAGAGAGTGCATTGATCTGCCAAAGTGAGCAGCCATTTCACAGGGTGAGTCTGTGCAGCATTCCTGTCCCTGAATGGGAATTGCTCATTTCACCTGGCCGCCTTGCCAATAGAGGACTAGTTGGAAGCCCTGCTGGAGACGGACAGAGAGAGGGAGGGAGCGCAGGAGTCAGGGCCCTGGTCAGGGCTTGGCAGGCGGCAGATAAGAGCTCCTCATGTTGCTCCTGCATGCACTTACCACTACTGCTAGGGCTCAGCCTGCCTCTCTCTGTCTCTCTCTCTCTCTGTCTTCCACACACTGACATGCACATACACATAGCTTTTCTCCACACATGTGAGGCACTAATAATAACTTTGGCGTTCTGGTGAGTCAGCCTTCTTTCCTCAGGCAAGGATAAAACTAAAACATGGTGCCTTTATTGAGTCTAAAATCACTAACTGTGGAATTCCCAGAACAGGGCTTTAACTCAGCCTGTAGTCCATTCATTGCCAAGATGCCATGTGTCCTCAAGATCTAATATTGTGACCAAAGCAGGTGCTGATGAACTGATAAACAAGGCAATAAACTATTTAGGATATTCACATGGCCAACATACAGTGCAGGAAATATAGTTTTGGAAATTAAAGTTGCAAAGACGAGAACTCTCATGATCAAACCTGACTTATTTAGAATTGCACTAATATACTACAATATGCTAAAATGTGTGAGATCTGGGCTTTTTCTTGGTATGGTTAGAGTGGGAAGTAGATCGGTGGTGAAAGGAAATACTCAAAGTCCTCCTTATCTTGCTAATCAAAAGAGGTTATCCACTAAAGACAGGTTAGTATTTTGCACAGCATCTCCTGTAATGGGTGGATGACTATGTGTGGAAATGAATATATGCTGGGTGAATTGTATATAAAACAATTTGCAGAACCTACTCTATATAGACAAAAGCACTAGACCACCTACACTTACACCTAAAGGAGCTGATCGGGCATGGAAACCAATCTTCCGAAGCTCCCAGCATGCAGTTTTTGTGCTGATGTTGATGCAAGAGCAGGTTTGGAGCTCTGCAGTTACTCGGTTAGCCATTTGCCATTCGTTCACAAATGTTTGTAAAGGCAGACTGCATGGCTAGGCACTTGATTGCATACACCAGTGGCAATGGGACCAAAAAACACCTGATATAAACGATAACTTTGAACCTAAACTACAGAAAGTACGTTTTGGCAATAGATTAGGTTTTTGGTATCTATTTTTATTTACAACTTAAAAACTGTTGCTTCTTGGACTTCATCCATCCATCCATTCGCTTCTGCTTATCCTTTTCAGGGTCGCGGTTGGACTGGAGCCTATCCCAGGGCAAGAGGAAGCGTACACCCCGGACAGGTCAACACGTAAACACAGACAACTATTCGCACTCACATTCACACCTACGGGCAATTTAGAGTTTCCAGTTAATCTAACCCCATTAACTGCATGTCTTCGGACTGTGGGAGAGAACCCACGCAAACACGGGAAGAACATGCAGAAAGAACATGGCCTGATGGTGGAATTGAACGCAGGATCTTCTTGCTGTAAGGCAACAGTGCTGCTCAACGTGCTGCCACCAGCACTCGGGTTTGAAAGCTGCAAACGCAGTGATGTGGAAACCTGTCACTGGATGGTTGATGTAATATTGTAGAAGCAAGCTGACGACTTTCTTAGCTAACAAGTTATCCCGAAGTAGTAGATATATTAGCTACATTTTTGCCATTTCATCCCCAACTTTGTCGCGTGTTTCAAGTTGGTCACACTGATTATTGAAGAGCATTTATTAGCACCCATCCTCAGTAATTCATTCATTTATTTCAAGGCTGGTCTTTCAACTTAGTGGTGCAATTAACTCCCGCTGCAGAGTTATTATCATTCCGAATTTTCAAATCAGCTTTTACTTCAATTTAATTTTGACTTTTTGTTTTACATTCAATTTAGGTTCAGGTAATTTTCAGGGAGGATTTTCTTATTTCAATTTAGTTTTTACTGACTTTAGTGTTAGTCTTTTAAATTAATATTTTAATTATTATCTTTTATTATTGTTTGGAGTGCACGTGTCAGAGGCAAAGTTTAGGAAAATCAGTAAAGGTATTAGATTATGAACACATAATGTTTTGAAAGCTTAAATTAACATGTTCATCAACTTTTCACATTTAGTTTTTAGTTTTTACTATAATGACTTGCTGGATTTGCCCAGTAGGGGGCATCGTGGAGCACACAATCTCCAGCTCTTGGCCTAATGCTAGCTGCTTGGAACGTCTGAGAATATTCCCCAACCCCATCAGAATATATGTGCAGACCAATCTTTTGTTTACCTTTGCTTTTCTTTAAGAAATAAAAATAACGGCAAGTGCTAACATATTATGTTGCAAGTTACAAAAGAATTTTTTCCATTATGTAAAAAAAAGTTTTTGTTTAGTAAATGGAGTAAATCCAACCCTAATAAATATCAGCCACAATTTGTCATGTGATATTTTTGCTTGCATAAAAATAACTTCTTGCCTTTTTTTAAAGTTTTATCCTGTTTTTGCAGATATTCATATCAACTAAATCTGTTTATGCCAAGTATATCTCGCTCAGAAGCAAAGCTGTAAGCTTCTCAGTATCTGACTCACCTCTCCAACATCGACAACCCCCCCCCACCCCACCCCACGCCCCCAGCGCTCCGCCTCCCCATCCTTCACATGTCCACCTTCCATCCAGCCACTTCATTCCCCCACTTCATCCTTCACATGTTCTCAGATTTATTTCTCTCTATCTCTCTCCCCTGGTCAGCCCACTTCCCTCCCTCCATCTAGCCTATCTCTCGGCTTCTCTCCTTGCTCAGTGACAGTCTCATCACACTCTATCAATCAGGCTCTGAGGCCCGGGTGCAGTGCAGCACGGCATCGCGCAGTCCCGGTCTGGTCCCATCAGTGCCAGTCAGTCTCCCTCACACTCTCAGTCACTTTAAAAAGGTTTAGGTTGCCAGATATAGTCTGTTTCCTCCGCCCCGATCCAGGTCAGGAGATGGAGCTGGAGTCGAGATTCAGCTTAGCGCTTGATTTGATGTCACTTGACATATTCTTGGGCCTGTCTCTACTCACAACATGCAATTTACTCTTTTTTTTAAACAAAGATGGTTATTTAGAAACATCATCAGCTCACATACACAAATTTGAAAGTAGAACAAAGTAACCCCGACTTAACGTACTGTGTGAAATTTAAACAAATATATATTTAAAGAACAGTTAAAATTGTTGTCTAAAAAGCATCAAGATATTCTGCTCAGTTTCTTACCTGCCGCAGGCCTCATCCTGTGGTTGACGTCTCAGGAAAGAGAACTACATGCACGAAAAAAACAGAAATAGAAAAAGTATAAGAAAAGCATTTCTCTACACAAAGCAATTAGCTCTTACTAAAAAAATAATCAACCATAAATTTTTGTATACAGAGCTTTTCAACATTGTTATGTTGCTCATTTAATTAGTTCATGTATTCGGCACCATTATGTACAAAATGTATAGTTAAGAAACAGAAAAGTGCTTTTGAACCAAATTTCAGTTGAAGGAAGAGAAAATTGCGCGTGCGGTAGAGAATGACTTAACAGCAGTTATCGATTGACTTTGTGAATTATGAAAACAAGTGTAATTACATTTTCCTTTAAGTAGCACAACAAATTAGGCTTGTTAGTTATTCTGAAAGAAAAAAAAAAA